TAAAACCTCTTTTTAAAAAGGGTGATGTTAACAATCCTTCTGACTACCGACCAGTTGCTCTTTTGCCCTGTTTTTCCAAAGTTTTTGAAAAAATTGTGAAAACTCAACTTACAGATTATTTGGAACAAAATAATTTACTAAATCCATCTCAGTTTGGTTTCCGCTCAAAATCCAGTACTGAAAAGGCTATTACCAGGATGATTAACTGCATTGCGGAGGCCTTGGACGGGTCGCAGCGCACAATAGGTGTGCTGTGTGACCTGTCCAAGGCTTTTGACTGTGTTGATCATGATATATTGCTAGAAAAATTAAGTAGACATGGAATAAAAAATGTGGAATTAAAATGGTTCATTTCATATTTAAAAAGCCGTAAACAAAGAATTATATTACAGAAATGCCAAACCAAATATAAGTCAGAGTGGGGTTACACACCCTACGGAGTTCCTCAAGGTTCCATTCTTGGACCTTGTTTATTTTTAATTTATGTAAATGATTTATGTAATGTTACAAAAATGCATACTTTTCAATATGCAGATGATACTGCTTTAATCTGCACCGAACAAAAAACATTGGATTTTAAGCAAGACTTAATTACTAATGAGTTTCAACTCCTCGGGGACTGGTTCACAGTAAATGGTCTATCTATGAATGTGTCAAAGACACAACTAATTCACTTTTCAGTTGCTAATGAGAATAGAGACATTGTTGTAAATTCAAACCAAACATCAATATATTCTCAAAACTCAGTTAATTACCTTGGAATTGATATAGATTGGCAACTTAATTGGCAAACAAACATTAAGAATCTATCAAAGAGACTCAGATCAGCTATACTTGTTCTTCGGGTAATTCGACATACTACAAATTTAGACACACAATTAGCAGTATACCACGCTTATTTTTCTTCCATTATGAATTACGGTTTAACGGTATGGGGTTCTTCTAGTCATGCCGAACAAATTTTTATCCTCCAAAAAAGAGCAGTTAGAGTCTTAGCGAAAGTGTCTCGAATTACTCACAGTAAAGAGTTTTTCATTCAGTTTAAAATTCTTACTTTGTATAGTTCTTATATCTTTAAACTAGCTTTAATGGTTAAAAGTGATTTTGACACATTCATGGAAGATCAACATGCCCATCCTCACAACACTAGATTTAAAAACAATATAAAACCAGTTCAACACAGACTTAAAGTATTCCATTTATCTCCTCAGTACATGGGCCCAAAAATATATAACAAATTACCTTCTTCAATTAGGGACACTGATTCATTCCCTAAATTCAAAAAGAAGTTAAAAAACTTTCTTTTGGAGAAGGCCTTCTTCTCATTGGAGGAATATATGGAAGCTATGTAGATGTTAAGGCTCAGCAATGAAATTTATTTTAGAATAATTTTAGTATAATAGAGACTATAAAATATTGTAACAATGACGAATCACCTGTCTGAATATGATGTTATGTGATTATTGGAAAATAAATAAATAAATAAATAAATAAATAAATTTGAGCAAGTCAGGAAAAACCCCTTCTGATAAAAGGTTATTTATGCATATTGCCAAGGGGTTAGCCAAACAGTCAATAATAACTTTTAATAGATTGTTTGACATATTGTACACATCCACACTAGCTGATCTTTTCATCCTTTTAGTGGCACTAAGAATATCACCTAGGTGTGATGGCTGACCAACAAAATTTATTACAACTATCAATTTCATATTTTTTCAAAAAATCATTACAAGAAGTGATTATACCTGGAATTTTAATAATTTGTTTGATCTTGTCTACACTGTCAACAAAAAACCTATTGAAAGTATTTGGCTCAATTTGCAAATCAGCTGTGTTTTTTATTTCACAGTTATTCTTTATTACCTCCCATGCGGCTTTACATCTGTTATTACTTTCTTCTATGTATTTAGCATTGTTTTCTAGCTTTGCTTCATTTAAAGAGTTTTTATATTGACATTTCAGTTTTAAATATTTATACCTTAGTTCAGTATTGTTCACATTTCCAGTATCTTTAAGCAAACTATACAGACACAATAGCCTTTCTTTCATTTGACCCAACTCTTTAGTATACCATCCCTTGTTCAGTTTGTTCAAATACTTAGGTTTGAATAGTTTACCTTTATTTTTATTCGGGACCATAAAATAATTAATATTGTTGTTTAGTATATTAAATAAACATTGGAACTGCATATTAGCACTACTACTCTCAGACTTGGACATTAAAGATAGCCAATCATAAGTAGACAATTTTAGAGACAGATGTACATGACTTTTAATAGGTAGATAAAACTGAATGGGATCTTTTGAGACTAAATGAGATGTATTATCTATAACTAATGGTCCATTCTGCATATTAACAATAATTCCATCATGGTCCGAAAAAGGAAATTTGAACAAACTTAAAAAAGAGAGCCTAGCAGATTTTTGGTTTACAAACACATTATCTAGACAGTTTTTGCCTCTAGTTGGTGAATTATTTAAATGATAAAAGTTGTACTGTTTAAATAGATTTAACAAGTATTTTACATTTCTTTTGCTTTTAGTAACATCAAAATTGTGGTTGAAATCACCACCGATGACAATATTATAGTTGTTCCACTGAGTTATAAAAGGTAAAAAAACATCCAAAATCCTTAAAAACTCCAAAGGTCTACCATTAGGCGAATGATACAAAGAAACAAATATAGTTTTTAAAGAATCTATAAATACGGATGAAACCTCAAAATCCAATTCCTGACAGAATTGGCTTACATCACACAATCTTGAGTTAAATTTAGTATGTACAAATATACAAGTATTCCCTCTTATATGTTTGATTCTATTGTAGGAGCTGGCACAATGAAAATTATAAGGAAAAGCTAATTTTATTTCGTCTTCCTTCAACCAGTGTTCAGAGAGACAAATAACATAAATATTTGTGTTAATTAAAAAACTCTCCAAAGCTGAAACCTTGTCTTTTAAACCTTGGACATTTAAATATAAAATATTAAGACTATCATTTCGCCTTGATGAAGGTGTACCATTATGAGCAAGGACCTTGGATGTGTTAAATACAAGGACTATTTACAGGACTAGTTACAGAGAGAGATACAGGAACACTTTTAGCACTTTCACTTGTACTCTGCTTTAGCGCCTCACAAAACGTGAGGTCGCCGGGCACTACACTTATAACTTCTCCATTCTGTGGTTCCTCCATTGAAGTTAGTGTTGGCTGGCCAGACAGAGCCGCAGTGTCGTCCGTCGGTTCCAGGGCAGGAGATGGCAGGAGGGCTGTCATAGGTGGTGTGACAGTGTGGCAGTTTTCTTCCGTTGCATCAGACAAGTTCATTGTTTCTTTCTCTTGATTTAGTTGATGCCCATGGATAAAAGTCTTTATTTGGTTGTTAAATTCATTGTGTGATAAACCATTTCTCAATTTTCTCAATGATTTTTGGAAGTACGACACAATGGTGACTTTTGCTCCTGTTTCGTTTTGAAAAGTTGTAAGGTTATTTAAGAAATCAGCCAAGGATATATTGTCTCTAACACAACCAACTGGCGAACAAATCAGATGTGTTAGGTTCTGTTCCTTAAAATGTGTTGTCAATTCCTTAAAAGCAGCATAATAGTCCTTTATATTTGGTTTTCCATTATAGTTGTCTTTTGTAATTAGGCTGTACACGGTAGCACCCGGTTTCTGGTGTTGAGCTGCCAGATGACTTGAGACACGGTGATGAGGTTCAGGTTTCCCAAAGTGATTTTTGAAAATCACTGCCACCCCTGCTGTCATGTGTCGAGGGTGATTAAAGTCTGCCGATATGCTATGTGCAAACCCAACTGATTCATGATGCCGGTATTGTGCTATAATATCAAACATTGGTTTTTCTGTCAGTGTCATTTTAAATTGGTTTTGTGAATTACATTTTTGGTTTGTATTACATGAAGTTTGTACTTGTTGATTGCTGTATTGTTGAGGATCATTTGAAGGTCTCATATAGTGCGACTAAATGGTCGTTTGTGAGATACCCCTCTATTTTAGAGGCTGTAGGGATACGACCACAAATACTGTAGGCTATATGTATGGTCTCTGGGTTTCTTAACATATATGGTAAATACAGTGTTGCTATGTTGGTACTCCTGGACAACCACAGCTGACTTGCAGCCGGTCAGTTTTTTATAACCGGAAACTAGCCTAAACAGTGCGAACAATTGTTTTTAGTGTTGTAGATGGTTGAGGTGAGACGTGTAGTAACTATGGTAACATGTTTTATGTAGATCTTGTAGACCGGGTGGCTCATATATGAGCATGAGCAGAAGCTAAAAAGAGCGTAAATCCTAAAAAGGTCATATTTGCCACCAGACTAATATATAAGCTAAATGTAATTAAAACTAATAGATAAAACACATTTTTTATCCGGGCTGTGGGAGTGGTAATACTTATACATATCTGGGCCACAGCAAAGGACTTTTTTTAGTATTGCGGGCTACCACAATGACCGGATGCGGCTCATTAGCCGTCGGGTAGCGAACGTGTTAAAGTTTCAGAGGTAAGGTGTTTTATTGTTAATTTGTATTTAGGATTAAACAGCATCTTCCACAATCTTATTGATATCTCCACCATTACTTTTAAACAACAGTTAATAACGATTGGTGAAAGTGAAAAAAGTCAATACATTTTTACTCCTAATTAATTCTGGAAGGCAAATAATTATATAGCCTATCTTAACAAAAATCTGTTGTGAAAAGAAAAATTGTAACACAAAATATTTTATTTGTGATGAAATTTCAAATGTTTTAGTAATTATCTACCTGTTAGAAAATAATGTAAGTTTAATTTGATTTTTATTCATTTTCCCACATATTTTATTGATTAAGTCTTTTGCTTTTCCACATTAAAATTATGATCAAAATCAAAAGTATACAAAAGTAAATAGAAGAATCTCTCATAATTTAACTAAACTTATATCTTATTCTTAAATGGTTATTTTTTTAAATATCTGATACTGTGGACTTTTTACCTTGTTATCGTACAACGTGTCAATCAGTGTAATAAACCTCCGAACTTGTGAGCGATTCTTCAAACTCAGGATTGGTACATCTCTGATGATTATTGTGTGAAATGCTTGAGACATTTGTAGATAGTCGTGCGCTCCCAATGGCTGGAAAATGCAAATAAATATTAAAACATATGTCTTAATGCAAGCGTCAATTTTAGCAAATTTCTTCTACAGGGAAAAGTTATTATTGTAGGTGGTATGACAAGATCTAGATGCGGGACCAATTTACTTTTTCATTTTAAAGGCCAAAAAAATAAGCAGTGCATGCATAAGTTAGTAAACTAATTGCAGTACCCGTTTCAAAGTTTCAATCTTGGCGACAGAATCTATTTTTCCTCACATATTTTTCAATTAATATCTGACTAATCATCGCATGGAGGCAGGGTTGCCACCCGTCCCGATTCTGCCGGGATAGTCCCAATTTTGGTTTCTTATGCCCGTATTTAAGCTTATGTTAATCTGGGAGGGAGGGGGTAATGTCCCGTTTTTTCCCTTACCTAAGGTGGCAACCCTACATGGAGGTGAAACCCGACTACAATCGTTTGTGTTTAGACTAAAACATTTACCCGATCACAAAGTTCCTCAAAATTGCTGTCCAAAACTTGGCCGCATGTTTTGTTGAAGGTTACATTACGTCCGTTGATGTTCAGCACCCTTGGTCGAATTATGTCGTTTTCGTTAGCACACAGCATCTTGAATATTTTATTGACACCTCGTTCAGCATCAGTGTTTTTGTCTGACTTCCTGAAACATTTGTAAAATAAATTTCTCTTTTTATTTGCAAATTTTCAGAACAAAGGTGCCAACCAAAAACAGTAAGAATCACTTTGTTCGTTGTTCTTTTAATATGCTTAAGAGTTCAATAGTATGGAACACTGGGTAGTAGTAATATTTACTTAGAGGTTTTAAAAACTTTAGGTGTTTACCAAAACATGAATGAGATGATAGTACCAGTATTTTCCTTTTAGCCTACCTTTCTTCTTTGGTATTATTTTGTAATGAGGTGATAAAATTGTCCACACAATTCATGTACCGTAATATTTGCATGCTATAAACAAAGGATAGTTAAGATTATAGTATTTTTACAACCAAATTACTCTTTGTAGACCGCATTCTTACTAGTAGTGTTGATTAAAGTCAATTTTAAAGTTTAACCAAAAACAGGAATTTAAAAAAACACAAAACATAAGTAAAATATATGTACGGTATTAATCCTTCCTGGGCTATGGACGGATATATCCAACAATCTCCGTTTACGTTCTGGGAGGGAAACGTGTATATCTATTACAAGAAATTTCCATTCTGGGCTTCAGACGGATATACCCATCCAAAAAACAAATCAATATACATACAGATTGTTTATGATACAAAAATAAACATTATACTGCCTTATTAATGAGTTTTGCTTTTGTTGTTGGCAATAATAATTGCAGCAGCTGTTTCAGCTATTTTGGGCCATAGAGTATGTTTCTTCACAACTTTTGTACTGTACAAAAATTAGTTCAGCGCTAAGGAAAATTGTTTATGATCCATGAATTATTTCAAGCAAAATAAATACAAAACATAACCACTTAAGCTATTAAATTTTGGCAAAATATTATTTTTAGCTCAAGCCCTTTATTTAATTCAGCCTTGGTAGAGTTAAATCATAGACTAAGCAACACAAGTAGACTCCTCATCCCATTGTTAATTTTGAAGCTTGTTTTTCGTGTCTAGCTCATGTACGTCCACACTGATCGCTGGGGTTGACAACATTTAGTTTTTATTATTTTAGGGTTATTTTCATGATTTGTGCTTTACTATTTGGTTATATAACTAGGAGACCAGTTATGGTTTATGATTAAATCGTTTTATTTGGTTAAATGAGGGTTTAAATGACTGAAATAACAAGAAACAAATTGATAACAAAACATACGGTAACCTCTACAGTTGGACGTACAGAACTAACAATAAAATTGGCTTCAGCTGTTCCATAAGGATGACAAATCTACTAAGGGAGTATGATTTATCTATGGTTAAATGTACTATGAGTCTTTAAGCCATCTGGCCTCTTATCTTTGTAAGTTTTTGGTCTCTTTTAAATTAATCCTCATTAAAGGTTTTAGTTGTACGTACAAATTTATCACTACAAAATAATGTTGATTCAACCTACACGAAATAAGTCGTTTCACTTGCTGGGTTGGCTTTTGTTCGGTAATCGATGCCAGAATCAAGGCATGTGATTTCACAGTGGTCTTTCAGTATTTGGATGAAGGGAACAAAGTTGGATCTTTGGAGTCCGTTCTTATAAAGATCGTCTGGAGGTCTGTTGCTGGTTGCGACAACAATCACTCCCCTGTCAAACAGTTCCGTGAACAGCCGCTTGAGGATCATTGCGTCAGCTATGTCCGTCACCTCGCAATCAACAAACATAAACAGATATAGTGTCTGACAGTCATAGATAGACAATGTGTGGGTTTTGAGGATAGGAGGCAGTTTTCTAAAACATAGAACTCAGAATTCTTTATTTGGCAGTAAATATTTACACATAAATCAAATAAAAGGTTCTCCTCAACTAAATATAGTCTACTATTTTTCTACATAGATGTACCTTCAGCTTAAACTAAACTCTGAACTACCAGGTAACATATTGGTTATAGGTGGAATTCAACCTGTGCTTCCAGGACAAAAGTCCATTGCTATAACCACTTGCATAAAGTTGGAAAAAATGTAGCTTATTTTAAAACTAGAGGAAGCCTAGTATAAAAAAAACTAGGTTTGAACTAGTAATCGGTGTTGGTCCACTTTATTTTTAAATCGTTACGGTACTGTATGGCAGTTAAAAGGGTTGTGAACTAAAAACTTACAAAAGGAGGACTCAACAAATTCAAATTGAGGCCTAACTTTTTTTTTTTAAACAGCTGAAGTTAATGGCTTCAAGTAGAAGTTAAAACAATAAATTACTTACTTGGAATTCATCAAAACACAGCATCCATGCTTTGGCACTAAGGGCTTCTGCAACAGGCGGGATCGGATCGAATGGCTGAGGTTTTGTACTTGTGACGTCCCTAACAATATGTTTACGTACTTCATGAATTCTTGCATGAACATCCATCATAAAAGAGTGAAAGTGGACTCTCCTCTTTTGACTGTTCTAGAAAAAAATTGGTATAGTAAAAAACAGGATGATAACTACAATATAATGAATTCAAAATTCTTATTTCCAATGTTCTCCTCTGGAGAAAGAGAAAATCCTGCTAGAGAAAATTTTGAAAGAGAAAATCCCCCATACACAGACACATTCTCTAACCACACAAAGACAGCAATCCACACCAAAACCCAACTTACAGAATCATCCTTCAACCACACACAGACCTTCACCAAGACCTACCAGAATTGTTAAACCTACCAAGAGATTCATAGAAGAACTTTAAGAGGGAGATGTCCTGAGGTATACATTTGTGAAATTAATAGTTTGTTTATTTGGTTGTCACCTGGTTTTATATACAGTAGAACCTCTTTAATCCGAACCCTGTAATCCGAACGTCCACTAACCCGAACCCCTCATTGCTGTACTCTACACACAGTACAGTAGTTCTTTATTGTATACTGTATTTAATTTACAGTACTGTTTATTCATCATATTTACTACTGTAATAAACACTGTATTTTACTTTATAAAACATTTTTCCACTTTTCCCAAAATAATGTTGGTCAATTTTAGCTATTGTTAAGTAAAAACAACAATATGTTCGGTAATCCGAACTATTCAATAGTCCGAACTACCCCTGGTCCCAATTAGTTCGGATTAAAGAGGTTCTACTGTATGTTTACTTTATGTTTTGGTTTTTGTTGTGAAATACAATGAAAGAAGCTGCTCTACAAAAATGGGTTTTAATTTAGTATATTTAAGGGCACAACATGCCTAAAACAAGATCAGTTGCCAATTTTTAATTTAAATGTGTTTAATTAAAACAGAAGGAATGGATTGTAAAAGAAAACCAAAATATTTATATATCCACAATTGTCCAGTAAAACATATTTTCCAGACAAGTAGGCTAACGCAATATTAGCCTACTATAATTTAATATTTCTATTTTACAAATTAAATAGCACTTTAAAACAAACCCAATTCTTTATTAGGCCTAATGGCTTTGATGATAGCATAAAAATATTGAATGAGTGCTGACAGAAAAACAGTTCAGTTATCTAGCCTAAAATAATCTATCCGGGTTACAGCAAACCGCCTGAAGTTAAATGCAGCCAAAACTTGTCCGCTTGCTCTGCGCACTGAAGCCACTCAACAAAAGGGGATGAGGGGTTAAACTTCTAGGATTCTGGTTGGATCCCAAACTGAGCTAGAGCTCACACATTGATAGATGCGCACAGCTATCTAGGGTAATTTGCCTCCTAAGGAAACTTCGGAACATCATCCCGATGCAATTCTTGATAACTGAAACTGTGTACCATGCTCCATTTCATAACCATATTATGTAAGTTACGGCTTGGTAGTTTGGGGTCATTCACCATCAGCACAGGACATATTATTGCTTCAGAAAAAAGCTGTAAGAATTATAATGTCAGCCGACTACAACAAACATTGTAGGCCCCTTTTAAAGACCTGGGCATTCTTACAGTCTTAAGTCAATACGTATTGAACATCCAAATCCTTTTGAAAGAGAATAATGTCCATCTGTTTGACCGAAGAGAAGTTCATCACCTCTATGACAATCGGCAATCACTACACCTTGACATGCCGCGATGTCGTCTCACCCGCACCCTCAACAGCTATCCCCGCTATGTCAGAAGGATTTTTAACACCTTGCCGGATAAGGTGTGGGATATGAACATCACCTCTTTCAAAGCGGCAATTAGAAACAGCTTAGTATTTGGCCACTGTATTTGCTGGAGGAGCTGAGTGAAGAGCCCCTAAAAGTTACTTAGAACCCCTTCCCTAAAAATGTTTTACTCGTATAATTTAGCGCCACAGCCTGGTTAAGTTTTGTATGCACCGGTATGTAAATAGTAATGTTATACCGGTATTTTTAAATGTCAATCAATCAATCAATCAATTTATTTATTGAACTATAATGAATACATGCATATTATACAATAGGTGCAAAAACCATACAAGGCTTGTCTGCACCAACATATTATGAAAAACATATTTAGTTAATTAATATATAAAGTTGAGTTCAATCAGCAATCAACACAGTTCTATGAGTGTCGTAACATTCCATTGAGAGTTACATGCATAATTATATTACCAAAAACCACTGATGTACCTATATTATATTGATGCAGTCTATCCGACATTGTCGGTCAGCGACGTAGCACACAAGTATCAAGTATCGTTGAGCTTAACATGAATGGTCATAACAGAAGGTCAACGTTAGACAGTAACAAGACCAGTAATTGGACTGTTCCTTTGAGTTGCATTTTAAAATCTAAATAATCCTAAGGCAAAGATAAAAAAGTACATAAATATACACGCACAAACAATGTAAAAAGAGGACTAGACAAAAGCTTTAATAAATAGGCTATTGAGAGATTAAGTTAATAAGATAACATAAGGTTAAGCATATCTTACCTCAACACATTCATAAAACAAGTCCATTAGCATAGTTTTCCCTCCTCCTACAGAACCATAAATGTATAGTCCTTTGGGTATTTTCTTCTTGGATTTTTTTGCAAACAACTTGGAGAAAATATTGTTAACTGGCGGTGTATAGTCTTGAATATTGTTAAAAACAATTTGCAAAGATTCTGCGACTCTTTCTTGATACTCGTCGGACAAAAGCTCTCCTGAATTAATTTTGTTCCTTAATACATAAGATGGTCCTAAACCATTTTCACTGTTACATTTACAAGTAGTAAGTGAAATATGTCTCTTTGGCTTATATATTAAAGCTATTTTATTTAAATTGTGATCTAAATAACATACTTGCCACAAATTAAGTCTATGAGGATTTAAAAAATACTTTGCACCCTTGTACATTGTCAAATTAATGGGTCTTGCAAATAACATTTTGAGGTAGGCCTATCCCTTGGCACTACAATACCTAACCAAAAACATTACAACATTTTACACTGCATCATTGAACCAAATAAACTAAACATTTGATTTGGAATAAAACACAAACTAATAACAAATATACTATCACAGAAAGTATTGTACATTAAGTTTTGAGAACAATTAACAATCGTCATTCAATTAAATTACTGAAATGACAAATAATTAACCTATCGCATTATGATCTGATCTGATCATGATGACATTAAGTAAAAGTAAGTCGTCTGCTTCAAGGTACAAACAGACAGAATCACCTTCAAAAATCCTGAAACCTTCTGAATCTGGAACAAGGCTAAAAGATATTCCAAAGTGTTATAAAGTAATAAAATTCCTATATGTATATAATCTAAATTAGTATCAAATAATAAAAAGAATAACCAGAGGAAGCGAATGCAATTATTTACTTCCATGCAAGCAATACACTGTTTTTTGGAAACGTGCACTGGTAGAAGTATCTAGATATCCTTAACCTCATTACATATTTAAGGTTATTGTTCGAACAAAAAGATCTATGATTTAGATTTAAAAGCGATGTCTTACAAGTTAAGAAGTGAAGTATGTGGTTCGGATTCCACTATAAACTGTAGGTCCTTTAGTTGCCATTAGCTGTATGGACTGATGGGCTATTAATTAACAGCTGTGTCTAAGGAATATGTCGGCTTTATTCACTAACAAGACTACAAGATCACGCCACTCATCCTGCACTCATCTCCATTTATACTTAACTTAAAATACCTACTTTTATGGTCGCCATTTCATCAAAAAGTATTTAAGTATTAAAAGTATCACTTTAGAATTTTGAAATCAGTTCACCAATATATTAACTAATTTAATCATGTATAGTTACATTGCCAGATCTGAAATTGTATTTAAAAGAATCCATCGAAAGCATAAAGGATAAATGTTAGTACAGGGTTATGTATATTACATTATAACAAAACTTCTAGTGAAATTAAAATTGATACGTAGATTATTTATTGTTCAAATAAATCTTATCTTCTAGTTTTATTATGTGTGTAGTTCAATCATAATTTCAGTGTAGAAAAGGTAAATGAGTGGGAGATTTACCATAGGGAAATCCACTGAGCTAAAATTATAACTGGAGGTAGCACTGCCATGGCAGAAGTCTGTCAAAAGCGAGTCGCTGATTTTGTTAGGTTGGTATAGCAGTAAGTTTTCTTACCATAGCAATAACATGGCTTCTTATAACTAGGTTGTATAGCAGTGAGTTTTTTTGTCATAGCAATAACATGGCTTCTTATGGACACCCACCTCACGCAAACATGGCGGCTGGCGACACGCATCTTTGACATTCAGTGCTACATCCAGTTAGAATTATAGCTCAGTGGGGAAATCATATGTCAAATTCCAACCGCACAATTATTTTAGACAGACTATATCTTTAGTAAACCTTAACTAGGTAGGCATGATAACAAATTGCTCATTTCCCCATTAAACGTTATCTTTTATGTTTAATGAGATACAGTTGAATGTGTCTGTTGAGTTGACTTTCCATGGGAATGGTATTCATTTTTCACTAGTGTCCCTGTTGCCCTAATTCGAGCAATTGCTAAGTATCACAGGCGTTATTTTAAAACTACCTCTACTAGTGCACCGGATGGAACCAACAATAAAATTGTCTTCATCTGATCAATAAGGATGATAAATCTACAAAGAGAGTATGTTTCATATACGCCAATGCAATGTTGTGGTTTATTTAATCTATGATACAGGTTTAAGCACATTATTATTTTTATTTCTGTCACCTTTGACTAAGCAATGTGCTTTAAAAATTGAGGAATTTCAGAACAGCTGTTTTGTTTGTTTAACATCAACATCATTGCCGTCTATAGTGTATCGTCTGCTAGCTCTCTAACTACTCTACTACTCTTAACTCTAGGCTTGTCGAAAGTGAAGGGAGAAAGTAGGATATAAACTAACATTCATTTATTAAATGAGAATCTGTAAGTCTGACGTGGTAGAGGGGTTGGGTAGCTCATTCTTTTGCGATTAAAATAGATTTACAAGATTTAGCGAAGTATTTGATGAAATTGTGCCCAAGAAATTTTTTTGTGTCTTATTAAATTACAATTGACATTTGCTTTGTTTATTTTGTACTCTTAGTAGGCATACTCCTAGTTCCAGTCATCAATATGCCGGGAGATGATCAAGAAATTATCAAACGACAAAAGACTGTGAGTTCAATATCATGTATTTAAGGATAAGGTAACCTAAGGTCTAGGCCTACATTTATTAATAAATGCAGTTGGATAGGCCCTACCTAACTAACATGCTGTTTAGCTTACTGTTTCCAACTTTGGAAAAGCATTTTTGTTTCTGACCACGCAAACTATAAAAAACATATTACTTTGTTAAAAGTTACTGTGTGTGGTACTTTTTTAAAATACTTTTCTTATTAAATGGCAACCATACAAAGTAGGTATTTTAAGCCAAGTATGAATGGAGATGAGTGTAGGACGAGTGGCGCGATCTTGTAGTCTTGTTAGTGACTAAGGCCGACATTCCTTAGTCACAGCTGTTAATTAATAGCCCATACAGCTAATGGCAACAAGGGACCTACAGTTTACAGTGAAATCCGAATCACATTTTTGCCTTGGTATATATGAATTGGTCTAATTATCAGGAAAGTATTGAGGATAGTCGTAGTACTCACTCGTGCAGAAGTTAATCCACACCAGAGAGTATTGTATCCACAGTGCATGCTTATAAATATCCACAATTCGTGACCTCCTGGTAGCTGGATTACATCTCGTTCGCATGGCTCAATCACGTCCTGGTTGAAGTTCGTTCGCTACGCTCACTCACCTTTTGGTTGCAAATTAGCTGTTGTCATAAATTAAAAAAAAATAATAGTGCTGCACCCTGTTGGTAATCTTTGTAACTTTAATGCTATTGAACATCATAGAACAGAACCAATTTGTTTAATTGAAACAGCTGTTAAGATTCAATTATTCCCATTTAAATATGAGTACTCATAAGGTTAAAATGGGAAACTCCAGAGCCACTGGGGCGGAGCCCGATCAGAATAAAAACAACTTAGTTTTCCTATATAATGCCTAAAGAATCAGTGTACCAAATTTCAGCCTCCTAGGTAAATGGGAAGTAAGAGAATTATTGATGAGTGAGTGAGTCAGCGAGGGCTTTGCCTTTTAAATATTAGCAGGATACCCACCTTTCTTTATATTTGGAGGACTCGTATAAGTATAAAATGCTTATTGCAGTTATAGGCTACTCATACTTTGCGTTTGCAATGAAAGAGGTCACTGTTTGAGAAAATTTGGTTCTTTTAATAAACGAAACCGGAAGCTATAGTGTAACACATACACCATAGCCATAATGTGTTACCACTACACCTAAACAACAAATACACCCGCCGCAGCAAACCTGCCGACCAAGCGAATTTCCATTTGTCTGAATTGATTTTCAATTAGGCTACTTAAATCCATTTAAATAACATTAGGTTTAACGAGTACCTAACCTAGGTTTGCTGCTACAGTACAAGGAAACTAATAAAGTGTGTTTTTAGTAAAATATTAATAGGCCTAAGGCTTAGTATAAAATAAATAAATTTGCCAAGTTTGATCAAAATATATCCATAAACAATTTTCTCCGTTACCAATAACTGTACAAAAACACTTTGATATTTGTTTTTGTAAGCCCTTTAAAAGAATGTCTAACTTATAGAGAAATTGAGAAATTTTGTGTTTTGAGGTTCAAAAATGAAATACCCCCGCCGCAGGAAACCTGCCGACTAAGCGAATTTCCATTTGTCTGAATTGATTTTCAATTAAATCTATTTAAATAACATGAGGTTTAATGAGTACCTACGTTTGCTGCTAAGAGAAAACTAAAAAAATGTATTTTTTAGTACCTAAAATATTAATAGCTTAGTATAAAATAAATAAATTTGCCAAGTTTGATCATATATCCTTAAACAAGCAGACAGCAACGTTTTACATTTTCTCCATAAGAATAACATGGGAATTTTAAATTTAAAATTTTTTGAATTTTCTCCGTTACCAATAACCGTACAAAAACACTTTGATATACTAAATTATTTATTTTTTAAGCTCTTTAAAAAGGTCTAGAGAGAAATTGGGAGATTTTGTGTTTTGAGGGTCAAAAATGAGAAAAACCATTTTTTACCCTATAAAACCCTATAAAATTTGATTTGATTTGATATAAAAATTTGAACGAATGATGGTTTTGGCCTCTGGTGACATCAAAATGAAAAAGTAAATCCGTCCCGGGCCTAGGTCTTAACGTGCCACCTACGGTAATAGCTAAAACCCTGTTACCATGTTCGGATTATACTGGATAAAGCAAGCTAAAGGGAAAAAGTTAAATTTGTCTGTTATTTTTGGGTTTTATAAAAAATTAACATAAAAATAAAAATTTTTGAAAAATGAAAAAGTCCCAGAGGGATACTATGCATTAGTACAACCCACATAAGTTACCAAATTTCATAAAAATCGGATCACAGATGTAGTTTGTAGCTCTGTACACATCCACACATAGAGACCCACACACAGACATCACTTCAAAAACTACTTTTTAGGCTTCATGAGCACCCATAACAAATATATTAACCCAAAACTCAAACTCGAAAATGTTGACGCAACTGTACTTTCTACATAGGACTATGTATAGGAGGAGAAAGTAAAAATATACAATAACATCTTAAAAACCTTACAGTAAGTGAGGAGCACTAATCGTCAATCTTTGTACCAAGTTTGGCAATTTGAACGCTATTGAAAATGTCTTCGGTTATGTTATTTTGCTATGACTGTATTTTTATGAAATGGCATTGAAGACTCAAGTAGTGTTTAAGGAAAATTTGTTAGGCTAATTTTATTATTACAACCTCTTCTGTGTAATCAGATCTTTAAATGAATTAACAAACACCATGTGATGTTTTTTAAGGATTGGGACAATTTCTTTCTCTTATCAGGAAATTAAGACCTCATTAGTGCAATAAGTATATGTCTGTAATTGGCGAAAATCCATTAGACCGGTATAATTGTATTTATCAAAGTGATTATTGCACTTTAAACGCTATCTTTAGTAAACCTTAACCAGGCAGGCATGATAAAAATTGCGCAATTCCCCATTAAACGTTATCTTTTATGTGTTAATGAGATACAGTTGAATGTGTCTGTTGAGCTGACTTTTTATGGCAATTGTAAAGAAAAAAATAAACGTTCTTTACTTACTTATTACTTCAAAATATACTCTTTACTTAATTGATCATTCCATCAAGCAAAATCACCTCACACCTTTATGTAATACAATTTAGGTATTTCATACAGGTGTGAGTATAACAAAAAGTTGCCCCCTGGTGGGGTTTTAATGAATTTAATTCAATTTTAATTGAACTACTGAGGACATTACAATCACAGAGCTGCGCAGTGGAAATAAAGATGTTAAGTGTGGGCCCTGTAATTAAATATCCCAGAAGTCCGATTTATGGACCGTGAGAGGTCTGATATGTTGTCCCCCTTCACACCTTCTTCAGCTTAATTCTAACACTTCTTAAAACTAATAGATGTGTCTATTTGATCACTCCATGAATTAAAACGTGCTGTTCTGATGAAAGATTGTGATATGAATTGATACTCTGTAAAACTGTAAAAGTGCAAATAATAATATTGAAATATTGATTGAAAATATTTGTGAAACTGTTTGTTCAGGAAATATTTATCAAAAGTATGACTTCAAGATGTTATATATATACTGGATTCGGTTAAGCCGATTACTCATGAATTCACCAACTTGATATTAAATATTATGAACTGAACCTATAAAAGTTGTACTGTCAAAATATATTTATAGAATGTAAACATCAATATTCTTTGTGTATACTTTGTATACTTCTTTCAGTTAAGCCATTTACCTCTTAAATTTATACCAGATTGATATTAATAATATAATACAAAACACAGGATAATGATAAGATGATGATTTGTAAAAATGCTATGTAATGAGTTGAATTGAGCTGTGGTACAAGTAACAGATATAAACAATGTAATACTCTTTTTTGTGCACAATTTAATAATATTTTGAAAGAGAGAGTGAGAGAGTTGATTGTAAGATTGAACGTTCAAATTGACGGTTTGTTCATTTTTAAAACTGCAGAGTCTCGGGAAAACCTAGCCTTGATGATTTTATTTATTTGTTTTGGATCACCAGACTCCCCAAAGATGTTCGTAATTATCAAACTGGCCAGTTTACAATTTAATCAAACAGGGACTATTATGTAGGTTTGTGATCTACATCACTCCTTGCTGATCAGTGCAACGGGGCCAATCGACTGCTGAGTCGATTATTTGATAATTTTTATTTAGTATTTAATATTTATGAATTTAATAGGAGTCTATCCTCATGACCCTTTATCAACCCTAGCCTTCGACCGAGCACTCTGTTACCCCCATTTACGTTACACAATCAAACTCTCACTATTAAAAAATGTAATACTGTTCAAAAATTATTCTACACATGAAATACAAACGTTTTAAATAATAATACTGATGATGATAGAATCTGACTTTACATAGAATACAAAAATAATAATATCACAGATAAACATTGCTCTTTAAATTAATACACCATTTCAATTCAATTTAAGAAATAATTTTCATTTGACTAGGTTCACTATTATAACTTAAATCCTTTGTATGACATGACCAAATTTAATAAAACATTTTATCCTGAATCGTGACCATGTGCTCTAAGTAGACCAAATGAAACATGAAAATCTCAGACCAAACAAAACATGATTCATAACTTGTAAAACGAGTGGTACATGTGAAAAAATGTGGCAGATTGGCAAGACTATTTTAATACTAAAACACAAATAACACAAACATTTACTTACGTACACATGTCGACACATTAACATTCATTCCGACGAAGTTTCACGCGTACCGAACATTTAAAAACTGACTCGTGGTAATTTGTGACTTTTTGTCTGACCGAGCGGAATATCACGACACGGTTTTTTCTGGTGTAGGACTTATTAATTCTTGTTTTTTCGAGCTGGCGTTTAATGATTCAATTGAAAATACCTTCACGACGACCCGCTATTCGCTAGAAACTGACATTTGCTATCGATATGATGCATGTACGAATTTTCATCACGAACGCGAACAATCAATCCGGCATCTCAACTGTCTCG